AAAAAAAAAAAAACATCGCGACATTGCGAGCTGTTGTTGCTCCGTAACGAGTTGAGAATCGAAAAATCACGCTCGGGTTCTTGTTGTGTGCGTGCGTGTGTGTGTTTGAGAAATCCCTCGTCGATCGCAGATATGCCGACTAATTATGATCTTTAGTTCTCGAGATAAGGGGAGACAGAGTTCTCGAGACGTAGCCTGCAAACGTTAGTGCAGCAATCGTGATTGTTGCTAAACGCTTATACCGTGGAAGATAAATATGAAGTACGATAAATATGAACAGTATCACAGCCTGTACCTAGGATATTTATTTCATTGCTAATCGTCGTACTCAAAGGCGAAAGCCACGATATCAGATGTTGGATAAAATCGGCGTGCGCAAGTCGACCGTGACTCAGAAAGCAAAAGCTTGGACATTCTATTTCAATCGGTTTATCTAACGGTTCTTATCTGGTCTTGTGTATATATTTGGATTTATCATTAGTTTTATCTGTGGACAATTATTCCACGCGTCGTTCGTAATCAATGATATTTAATGTAATTTAGAGATTGTACATGATGTTTTGTTTTTGTAGGAGGGAGAGAGGAAAAGAAGAATCAGAATCTAGGAATGTTAATACATAGAGTCACTAATTCACTCTGTGTATTGCACTCGAGGGCTTGAAATATTTCAAATAAATTGCAAAGAGGATTGATTACCGAAAAAAAAAAAAAATTATACACTGTTATATGTTATGTTTAAAAGAAATTCGGGAAATTCTTCCGACGACTCGTCGTCAAATATTTCCAAGATCTCGTTGGAAACTTGATATCGTGAGGCTGAAACTCTGTGGATTCTAATACAGAATAATTTCTCAGCTAACGACATTTGTCAATTAACAAGTGACAGCTGTAATTTATGAATATTTATCTGTTGTATAAACACTTTTTACAACTGTAAAGTGATCGTCTCGCTAATAATTTATAAACTTTACTCGCCTTACTCTGATCTTACAAATTTATACCTGTTGTGCATTGATAATGAGATTGATAATCGACTCATGAAACTTTCTCAATTATAAATACGTGAAGTCATTGTAAGAAATTATCCATAATTTTAACTGACATAATTTGATAAAAGAAGATCGTACAACGATCCACTTGGTCTCGTTTTATGGCGTGAAGCTTCTAGTTTGATGGCCAGGAGTTTGTTTTTTCTTAAAGATGATTTTACATCAGGGTAACGAGTAGAAGAGTGAGTGATAAAAAATTCAAATGCGTATGAGAACATGAAAAAAAAAAACTTTCGCCACGACTAAATCCGCTATGGCCTTAATGATTGAAATTTTCTTTCTACAACGATCCCTACTCGTTGTATACTTTTTTTCGTCATTTCATCGAACATTAGGACTGTGAAATGTTAGAATTTCTTGAATTTAACCCTAACATTCAATATTCAATAAAATGGTGAAAAAAATCGTTTTAAAACAAGTTTTACTTCTCAAAATAATGGCGGAACGGAAAAAATTTTTTAATTTTTTTACATACATATGAATTTTGACAATTTTGAAGAAAAAGGTATCTTCACTTTGTCACTTGCTATACGATGCAAAGTGACCTCCAGAAGAAAAAATAAAAAGAAAAAGAAATCAACCTTCGATTGTGTCAAAGCTTTGAACAGAGTCCAAGTAGATTGTTTTACGATTTTTTCTTTCTCTCTTTTTTTTAGAAAATGTTTTTATATCATTTGTCAAATTGTCGGCAATACCTCATTGTCATTGGTATGCTAGCAGTTATGCTAGTCACTGTACATCTACGAAAATGCAAACCAACCCGACTCGAAATTCGATTCACCTGTACAATTGCGTGAGAAAAAGAAAAAAAAAGTGGTCTGGTCGAGAAACTCCACCTGAATGAGATGGAAATCAATTTTCACGGCGGTGACGAGTCAATATCAGGTTCTGTCGAAAGACAAACTCGTATCAAACGTCCCGTGGTTCGGGCAGAGACTGAAGACCGAAATATTTTGAGGTTTAGGTATCATATCCAGAGACTGAAACCGAAATATTGCGAAGTTTAGGTATTATACCGGTATTTGCTCCCTTATTATCGTAATATAACCGCTATTTGGGACATCGGCTTTAATATCGGTATAAGACGGTCATACCGGTATTTTCATACATATTTTATCGATATTTGATGTCCACAAATGGTAAAAATACCGAAATATATACCGCTACGGTACCGCTTTACCGACGAAAACACATTTCTCATTTTCTACGTACAGTGACTCTTATTAATATTCGGACGTCATGCTATTCAAAATATTGTTGTGGATCTCGATTGTTTATAATAGTAAGTTTGGATTAATTTTTTAACAATCCAAT